CATAACCTTAAAAGACTTATTTTCATCCGTCGGAGTCTATTATAATGTGAAACATAAATCTGGTATAAATTCACTTGGTCATGGGCTATTTTAAAAAACTACAGACCACTATAATGATCCAAAGACTAGAGGAGAACCTACCATATGAGGCATAAGTTAGTAACGATCTCCGAACCTACTCCGACAATCTATTGACTATCGAAAAAATCACTGGTTTACATACATTTCTCGGATACACCTTATACTGCAACTTTCTAGCCGTTTGACAAAAGTCGCATATTTAAAAAAAACAGTAATTGGTCATCGTGTGTATGCTACTACTAAAGAACTTCTGGATGCATTCTGATGGCCACATACTTCGCCAGCGCGTTTTTTGTCAATGGTAGCAAACGATATGCCAATGTTTAGGGAGCCGTTCAAATGTCGCGGCATCTGGTGCCAATATATTTTCCAGAGAGATGATCAGAATTCAGATCGATCACAGAACGTTTTTATTCTACCCAGCTGGTCAAACGTCTCATGAACTCCATATCCCGGATAATAAGTTTTAGAAGTACGCTCTCAGTGTCCTTCGATCTCACGCCGATAGGCGAACAAATGACCAAATACTTCCTCCATAGAGTTGATATGAATTGCTTTGACCTCAACAAGGGGTTTGTGGTAACTCTGGTTTTAGTTATTTGCTTCCGTATATGAAAGCATGTGATGCGGATGCTGGTTCGGATGGCCAATTTTCTATCTAATAGATGTTTTCTAAAAGGATTTTTCTTCGTTTTTGCACAATGCTATGTAATGAGAATTTTGCTGGTTTTATTCGTGCAGAGCACTCATAATCCTATAAAGCTAACAACCTAAAATCATCATTTTGGTCATTCATTTCCTTTGATAGTTGCTGCATGCCGAGTAGGCTGTTTCAAATCTACCGGTGTGACACTGTGTACTACCACTGATGCATGCGAGTAGTTTAATGCCTGGTGTCTAGGCCCGGCACCCGTATCTGATGAAAGGCGAAATTTACTATGGAAATTATGAAATTGCTTTGCAACCTTCAAATGTGTGTTTAATATTGTGAAAAAAACTTCCAAAAAAGTTCAAGGGAGGCTTGAGAATGTTCACTTTTCAAAATGTTTGTTCATTTGGGATGTTTAATTTCATGTTTCATGGTGAGTGGCTTCATAGCGAGGGACTTTTCTCTTCTCACTGGTATGTGCAATTATTTTGAAGGCAGCGCTTCGGATTCAGGCAACCTCAGCTAATGTATGATAAACAAATTGGAGAGTCTAGTGCTGACACCTGAAATCTGCGAATTCTCAAATTAAAGCAAGGGGGCTATGCAGGTTCGTACAGTCTGTATGGGTTTATTGATCATATTATCCTTTGGGCAAATTACCTTAGGATACGCATGCTGAGAAGCATGGCGCTGATTCGAGTGCTTCATGAACTTTGTACGTGACATAGCTATTAACTAAGTGGGTCACTGGTTGTTCTATGTCATTTCAAACTTTGAAATAGCCACTCGCTCTTCACTGTTGCGTTACTATAGCCAAGAAAGTGAAATGTAAACTTTTCATTTTATTTTTTTGGAGACCATACCAAAATAAATCAATTTATCATCCACTGGCCCGCTAGGTTTTTTGGTGGTGTACGGATCAGACATTCATCATACCCCGAGATCCATCGGCAATTCGTAACTTACCTGGCTCAGACATTTGTTGGAAAGGTCAAGGACAATGGCACTGCACAGTCCATAATCGGTTCTGCCCTGCTATCTACACCATATTCATTGCTGCTTTCGCTTACGCTATTTGTGCACTAAACCCATTCTAACCAGAATCAATGTATCCGGTCAGAATGCGCTTTGGTAGCCACGTAAATGAAAGATCAAACTCTTCCAATCCACTGGATCGACCAGCAATCCTGGGATGGTGACATGGAATTATCCTGCAATAAGCCACTTACCTCTTCCTTGACAAGCAGGTCGATCTTGACTGACCAATCATAGGTGTACTGACCACAAGCTTAAAATGATTGACTCATTGCTGGCTACTGGACAACTATTTGTCCCTTTGCGAAACACTAGCGATGCGATCCAAGCCTAAAGGTGCTATAATTTTGATGGCAGCAAAAAAATCATCAAACTCCATAACGAGTTAGTGGTTAGTTGGGGGACAAGTACTCAGCAGTATTCACAAGCGGTTTCGAATCGGAGCAGTTTGGTACTACCATTGATAGCCGTTACACGTAGGTTTACGCTCTATTCCACGAATATTCGTGGCAGTTTCCAAAAGAATGTTGGAAATCATGTGTTCTCAGATTATCCTCGCTTGATTTAGCCAACGAGGCGCATATTCTAAAATAACCTGTATTCAAACCAGCAAACAATCAGTTGACCATGGTGGCTTACATAAGCTCCTGCGGGAATTCCATATATTTTATCGGGACGTAAAGCCGATATGGCGTCAACTAAGTAGAGGGCACACATTTTGCAACTCAACGCCTCCTCGCTCAAGCCACAAAGCTAAGTAAAAAGGTAAGCGCATTTTGACTTCCACAAATGGATTATGTGCCAAGGTGAAGTAATGTACTCACTAGCAGAGAATAAACGGTGATATATAAGTGCATTTCAAGCAGCCAGCAATTTTACGTAACAGAACGAGAGAAGGACAACCGTCCAAAAAAGAGTTGATTTGAACGTCTATCGCTAATCATAAATTGTCCAGCAAGTTTCAAGTGTCCGTGATAGTACCCGACAACACAGTCCTGGGAGGCGTGTCGATGGATCGACAAAGCCAAGGCAGCTGATTCGTCGAAGTTTGATCAGTCGGGCTATCACATGGCTCAAGAGTGAACGCATTCGACAGTTCAGATGTAAAAGTGCGTTTGCCTCCAGCGTGCACTGATGGAGTGATATTCACACTCTCGCCTCACATATCAGATGTCTGTAGTTCAAAACCCAGCGCGGTCAGGCACAGCTGATGAGCTCCAATGGGACTAAAACTCGAGTTCAGGGCTCCTGCTCTTTGATGTGTACTCTTAACAGTATGTACATAGGCCAGTCATGTACGCTCGAAAGCTACAAACGAACACCTATGTCTAGTGGGATTTCAGCTTGCATATCTTTGGACAGTGCTGGCATGGTTGCTTCACGTCAATTCCTTTCGGATTTCAGTGCAAAATTTAACGTTATTTTTCACCTTTTTCACAAAGTCTGAACCTTCTCTAGTACAACACTTAGAAAAATTATTTTTAGGAAATTATCAACTGAGACACATTTGCCAACAACTGAAAATCACGGGTAACCTGTTGGCGTTGCCTGCACCATGGCATAGGATGGTCGAAACAGTATAAATAGTGTCTTCGGCAATTCCGACTAGTCAAACGTGAAGTATTCCACAAACTCGGATGAGCTGAACCCTTTCTGGATCTAACCCATGGAATGTTTGAACGCATCTTCCGGTAATGGTAGGGCCATCAATGGGAAAATCATCGAGTCTAAAACACAGTGATCCGGTTCATGGATTTTTCAGCTTAAATGACCGTTTTTGTCTATCATAACGTAGTAGTTTCGTTTTATGCATTTGTAGAGAAATTTCGCCGATGGAGTGTTTGCTTAGTGTGAAGATAATTAAAATACTTGCCCGGAGAACATGAACAATTTTTGAAGAAACAACTAAGAGAATCTGATTTTCCAAAAGTTTCAGATAAATACTTGCTTATCGGATTGGGCAGTTGTGTGTTATTCATTTCCATGCCCATTGGTCTTCCCCGATAGCCAATCAAAGTGCTTCCTGCTGCTCAGGAAGTCAAAGCTGCTACTTGGCTATAACGAATAATACCAGCGGCCTAGAATATGTAGGTCCGGGTACACTGGAATGGTAGCGGCACACTTGTTTAATTCAGATATATCACTTAACAGGAGTTTATTGGAACAACTATGGATGATCAATAATTCTCAGTCGTTAGAGGTGCTGGAGTTATATGATCAGTCGATTAAGCCATACATACTCTTCAAACATTGTGTTACCGTTCCAATCACATTGCTCAGTATGCTGTGTATTATTATTACTATAGTGGTTGTGACACGAAGGGGTATTTGGCGTCCAACTGTGACCTATATCATTGTTCTGGCATCCGTGGATCTATGCACGGTCACGCTACACTGTTTGCTTTCACTAGACACAATTTTCCTTCCGTTATTCGAACCCGATCTATACACAAACCTGGAAAACGTGGTAAGTGAAGTCGCAGATACACTTTTGTTCATATCAAACTGGCTTACAACGATTTTGGCTACGGAACGCTTCATAGCCATCTGCTATCCACTGCAATCTAGACGAATTGGTAAACGACACCGTAAGGTTGCTGTCCTCATAGTCATATTTCTCAGTGTTATTGTCAAACTACCTGGATTTTTATTTCATAACATTTCCGGATCAATAAACAATTTTCTATACATTTCCTTCCTCCACAGACTCTATGTTTGGATTGTACAGTTGTTTCTATTTCTGATCATACCTTTCGCCATACTGACATTCGTAAACATACGTCTAATTATTGCTATTCGGAAATCTGCCAATTTACTCAGAACGCTGTCAGGCAAGCTCGGGTCAGACCGGACTAATCCAGCGATGGAAAATGCACCGGGAAGATCACACACAACAAGTCCGATGAGGATGAATCAGTCAACTTGCTTTTCCAGTTCACAATCTCATCAAAATGACAAATGGATTAATTTGGATAGTTGTAATTCCGTAGCCGATCAAAACAGCAGTCTTTGTGACAAAAGTACATCTGTGTACGATACGCTCCCAAACCACCCGAGTGAGCCAAACAATGCTCACACAAAGAGGGCGATCAGAGAAGAAAGAAAGATCACAATCACTCTCATTTGCCTTGTGGTAACCTTCTTTTTATTCCAGGGCCCATTTGTACTTACTTCTGTGATAACTCGCTTCACGAGCTTAAGAAACACGCAATCAGTACAAAAAGCTGGTCAGCTAATGAAAGAAACGGTGGAATGTGTCGCTGAAAGATCCGATGTCTGTGCCAATAAGGCCATTACTTTTGAGACCTACATGAATCCTTCGTCAATTATCGCTCTTGCACTTAAAAGTGACTTATATTTTGTTTTTTATTGCTGGTTTTGTGAGCGGTTTTTGAAATCACTTCGCGCACTGTTCAGGCCAACAAGATTATGTCAGTGCTGTGAACATCTGCGGCAATCATTGTCACGATACACTGGGGGTAGTAAGAACAGAGAGAAAAACCAGTTTCCAGACTTCTGTGTTCATATCGCAGATGGATATCGATTACCACATCATCAATACGGTTGTCCTCCGCGCACATTCCGCAGGCCAAATGATCGGTTTGACGTGGTGCGAACAAGAACCGGATTCCCGTACGATTATAGAACACCACCATTGCCATTCGTTTTACATTCCAATCGTAGAAAACCCGTCAACATTCGTAAGAGTTTCAGCCTACCGAGGGAATGGCATGAGAGGAGAGAACATGGATTAAATCTGACGAACAAGAATACGCGATTTGCCAACCCTCGAAGTGGATTTCACATGCCACCCAATTTCTATTGTTCACAAGGTCGAATAGTTATAAGCAACAAGGGTTCAGTTCGAAAGCCACCGTATCGTTTTGGTTCTCCTGGAAGATGGTCAGTGAAAACTACTCAACAAAAACACAGTGGGAGATTATGGCCCATCAATATAAGTAAACCATGGTCTGGCATAAGGAAACCCAAGGAGTTGGAAGCAGATCTGGTAAATTTCCAGTTTTCGCACAAGACATTGAGCAAGTTCTACAATGATACTTCAACGCCAAGCACATCAGCAACCAGGTCACAGCAGCAAAATCTTGAGAACGAGTCATTAGCGCAGAAGTCGTCTGCTGAAATTGTACCCGACTTGGCGGACCATACTTGGTTTTCCCCTCCTTGTCTTGGCGACCCGGAGCATTGTCATTATCAGAGAATCAAACCAATTACTATGTCAGCTCCCGTTTCTGCCTGTTATGAAAACATGGGCGATTCACCAGTACAAGAAACTACTTCGCCAAAACTTGCTTTACCGGAAAATGACGAACAGACTGCTGATAGTTATATCCGAAGAGCCAATATGGCCATCGGGTGGACTGTCTAAGTCTTGCTTATGTGTTTCTCGTTCAACATATTATTTCCCCAGATATTGTGTTTCACAGGTATTTTTGGCAAGGCTAACAGAGCATTTTAACTTTGTGATCAACAGGATTGCCTTGGTGATAAAAAATAAAGTTCGCAGTGACTAACAGTTGTTTCCGGGATATTCCGGTTTTTGCGCGTCTGTATGCTGCTCTAGGCAATGTGTGTACTCGCAAGTTTTTCGAGCTTGGTCCCATTTTTCATTAGGAATCGTTGAACAAACGGCACCAGTCTAAGCCTTAGAGGTTGCAAAAAATTGACGTTCATTACAAGAAGATCTCCATGAGTAACAAGTGGTGTCTCTGAAAATCTGCTCAGATAAGACAAATCGTAGTCTACTTCGCTCGAAAATGTGTAACCGTCTTGTTCACGAAAATCGGTTTACATTATTTAGTTGTGTGTATTCGTAGGTGGTTGTATAATATTTGTGTATTCATTCCGTGTTTGCATTTGAGCAAGAATGCTAGGCGCATACGAATCAGTAATCATTCCGTCCTGAATTAGATGTTTTCTACCAGATGTCTGTAAAGCTTTGGTGTGGTTTCACAAAGAGTAACCCGTTTAGTTGGGACCATGGTCCCCATCATATCGAAAAATGGTGAAAATGTTTCGTCCTTTTGGTGCCCTTTAGAACAGTGGACAGCTCTGTCACCATAATAGCCTAAATTAGCAAAATTTGCTGGTACATTCTTGCCAACTGTAAACTGAAAATCATGAAGAAATCGGTAGCATATTTAGAGAAGAAACATCTCTCTCATTGCACCATCGGTTATGTTAGTGCAAATATCTCAAAAAAACTCTGTCGTAAGAAGGAATGAAAACTGGCTAAGTCGTATAGCTCGGGAATTGATCAGGTCTCCAAACGACTTTAGAGCCAATATTTTCTTGACAAATCAAGTCTCAGTGTTTTTTCCCCAAAGCCTATCAGAAATACTCGTTTTACTTCGAAGTGCCCACACTTCAATGGTGCGAGAACGTGGGTTTTCATTGCAGGCATCATTTGAGGTGACTGAAAGTTTACATACATTCGCTCCTGGCTTGCCCACTATCTGACTGATTCTGTGGCAACTGTGATCGGTTGGTCCATGTTTGCAGTAAGACCTGGAACAGTATTGAAAACGGAATAATTGCAACTTGGCATCACCTTCAATGAATGGAAAAGAGCTTCCGATCCTCGCAAATCTGTTGGCCAATATGGTCAAAAGTTTACAGAACGCCCATTTCAACTTGCGTTCTGTGCAACCTGACAACCCCCACTGTGTTTTCCACGTCTGTATGAGGCTCGCAACAGTCATCCAAGCTTGTATCATTGATGATATTACGGAGCTACATATGGTCCCGTGGACTTACTTCAGTACTTTATTTCCACGTCATCCAATGAACGTTTTTCTGAGCCTTTTTATGGATAACTGACAATTCTCGAGTTTGTATGAGTAGATGGCCAATTCATCTTACCGAAAAATGCCACGAGCTAGCTTCCGAATTGAGTCAGTCATGATGGGCGCCACGTTAACGAAATATGCACCAAACCGTATACTCTGAAGACAATGTAAGCTCAATCAAAGATGCCATGCAAGCACACATAGCTTAGTTATTCTCCTTTAAATGCAAGGAATTCATAACGAAAAACCTAGCCAATAAAACGCGTTATAATTTTGTACGGATATTTAACTTACGTCCACGACGAATAAAAGTGAACAAAATCCAAACGAAATAATGAAATATACTAGCTTAATTTGAGATACCGCTCTTCGGGTAATCGCATTTAAAGCGAATTTACTTTGCTTGTACACTGTAGAGTTTGATTTGTCACTGAGTAGCAACTGGGTATAATTCCACAACACCTAAGCTTAAAATAATTTCATTCATCCCTGACATGTTTCTTTAAGTTGCGATCGTCACAAAGCTGTTGAATTTAAATCCCGATGAAGTTTATTCCTGAGATAGGATACAACTGCATTGCCAGCCGTGTGTAAGTTTCATTACGGATATTTATATTCGTTCGATTTATGACCTTCATCTTCAGGCTGATTAGGTATGACATAGATGGAATGCTTATATCGTTCTATTTCCATCTTAAAAACAACTTACAACAGCTTATCACAGGATAAAGTTTTTGTATCTAATTACTAGTCTCCGCTCCATAAACCACTATTTTTAATTTCGTTTCCGCATGAGTAATGTAGCACCCGATGCAATCTCGAGGGTGGTGGATTATCGCTTAGAAATGTACATAAAATCACCGTCACCAGCTGAATTCAGAGTACCTTGTTATACTGTATAGCACTGTCTCAAAATAATTTTCGACATGCAATGCTTTCAATAGTCAGGTTCCTCAACAGAAATGTGTTTCCCGATAAAGTGAGAAAAATAAGTAAAAGTTGTTATCGGAAGTCTCGGCTCAGCCGCTGCCACCAGTGGCAGCCGTGAGTGGCTGAGGAAGACCTCTTAGTGTGTGTTATCCAGTATGTTTAGAATGGACTGTTACTCAATCTGACTAATCAGTCTTCGGGAGAGAGGTATAGAAAAATTTGTATTGACAGAATTCTGTCACCTCGTCTAAGTAACCACATATTATCTACTATATCTTCCAAGAAACCTCGGTTTTCCGTTATCAGTTTAAGCTCTGTCGACTCACCGACATTCCCTATGCAATCAGCTTGTTTATTTTGGCATGTTGGGTAAACCATTAACTCTTCCATGCTACGAAGGTTCACATTACTTACGAGCATGTCTAAACTGAGACATATCAGATAGCCTGTCGATTTCACTACGCGTGATTGATTTTGTTCTCAACCACCCGAAAATGTCGCCTGTGCTGTCAGATAACATTTTAATTCCGGGGAACGATACTAGTCTAGTCCACGATTGACAGGAGCTATCGTCACTTCGTAAATCGAGCTTCCCATGTCATGTTCGCGAATGAGTATTGTCGCACGTTTTTACTTCAAATCCATAGAACTTCTCACTAGTAAGATCGGTGTGCATTGTATGTTTTATGGTGGTGAACCTTAACCAGCAATTTTCACGGACATTACCATCTCGCAAGGTCCACCACTTCCCGTTTGAAATGCGTTTTTATAGTGAAAACAGTCGACTAGCAAGTGGATACAGAGTAGATTCATGTCAGACAAGATATAAGGAAGTACTGTTGACGATATCATGAGGGTTACAATGAAGTTTTGTCAAGGAAACTTAGTAGGGGTGGGTTTTTGTCATTTAACGGGCAACTCGGATGATTTATATGCTCGGCTCGACTAGAGTCACAGGTTCCAATGGACTCTCGTGTAGCACAATTAACGGTGCTCGAAATGTGACTTAATGTATTAACGACAGCGTTGAGTGGGCCTAAAATATACAGTCACAGTAATTTCAGAACCAAAACAGACTAGAGCGTAGTTGGTTGCGATTTTGCCGCACAGGTTACTCCTAGTCCTGTAAGTTTTGAAACGAAGGCTCCGTCGTGATTGTCGTAGAACCGCAGGCTTCTTCCGAAAATTTAGTCTGTCATCTCAAGGAAACCAGTTCAAAGGAGAATGTTCTCATTGAGAGATCGGAAAATCCTAACGAAAAATGGATATCCGCAGGCTTTTTCCGAAAATTTAGTCTGTCACCTCAAGAAAACCAGTTAAGAGGAGAATGTTCGCACTGACAGATCGGAAAATCCTAACGAAAAATGGATAACAGGAACACTCATGGTGCTCTCGTTCGAAAAGTTGTTCTTCCCTGGTGCAATTGTTTTGATCAGCCAACATCTGATCGAGAAAATACCAGTCTTGAATTTTACTCTTATTGGAGCTCATCAGCAGTACATGTCCTTGGCTCTGAAAGGATTTGACCTCCGCACATCCAACGTGTGAGGTGAGCATGCTACCACTAATCCAGCAGCGTGCACTCGATGCGTCTAAATTTTAACTCCTTTTGAAAAAAAGAACTTACAACGACTACCTTTTGTATTTGACTATGTTATCACTCTGGTGATTAGTCAGTCCTTTTTTTTCTCCTAGATGTTCCAGTTTATCTTGAGGTCCTTCGTTGTCACAGTCTTCTAACTGGAAATCTTATCCTCAGCCGCCAGTATGATAAATCCAGGTCAATTTTTTTTATTGTGGACTGTCCATGATAGGTAACCTCTCACGTATGGAGGTTCCGTAAATAGATTGTGGCTGATAATAGTCTCTAACGAAGTTTGCCCTGCTTGGCTGCATGGTGTTGGTGTCATCGTGAGATCGGACACTCCAAAACAACTCGACAGTTCAGCAAACCCCTGCAGTAGTGTCGGGCGAAAAGTGTTTTATTTTATTCTATCGAGTTGCTTGCACCTCTGGTTGACTTAGTTGGGTGCCGGCCATTTTACAAAAACTCCTCCCGGACATTTTCAGTCCCTTTATTTAAGGTTAAAAAGCAGGATCGTTTTGGAGTAATTTAAACTGGAAGTTGTCCGACCAACGACAGTTGACGGCACTGGTCTGTGTACAACAGTGCAAGATCATCATTGTATGCATTCGTCAAAACTTTGCTTGCATTGGAGTCTGAAGATGAAACCAGATATTAAAACAGTCCTAATATGAATAGTATCCTCAGTAATACGGAGCAGCGTATTGTATCACTAGAATTAGCAGCCATAAGACACATCTCATTTATAATACAGCGGAAGGTAGTTTGTTCAGGCCTTCAATACACTCATTAACTAGTATCTTTATTTCTGGTGTTGCGCGTTATTCTCTGTGATTAGTGAAAATATGTTTGCTGCGTTTGAAGAATGTAAAATCTATACACCCTTCGGGATTGGTGCAAAGTATGCGTTTCAGACAATCAGACCATCAGCCACATACCTCTTTCCGATCTGTCTCTTTAAGGGTCATTGAAATCCACACTTAGTCCATTGTCTCCTCTGAGCAGCTTGATATTGATTATTGAGTAAACGACCAACGCAAAATCCTAGCAGAGTGGCCCCCTTGG